GAGGAAGAGTATACAGGACCAACAGCATGAATCACATGCTTTCTAATATTAGAAGGAAAATGAGTTTGTGTCGATCCATTTTCGAAATAATCTCACGCGGGTAACTCATATCCCTTGGTAATCTTCGCTTCACTGTATGAAGATTGAATCCCAGAATCAGAATTGATGCGAGCTGTGTTTTGATTCTGCGCTTACCCAGTTTCTGCGCCGTTGAGTGTACGACCTAAGAAGGGGTAAGGTCAGAACAGTATTCCACCGAGATGGATGAGTATTACATTCTTGGTAAAGTTTTGGACCCGCTGCGTTATGTATGGCACCATCCACTAAACATCGAGGGTCTCAACTTTTGTCTGTATTCAGCTACATTCGCTATCTCACCTCCTCCGCCACCTAATAACCCCCTAATTAGGAATCATACAATGTGGAAAGGTTAGGGGATTACTTACCGAGAAGAGATCTATTCGCGGCGTTGACGATGCTGTCTATCTGCAACCTTGTGATATCACCTTGGCTAAATGCCAAAGGTCAGACAAAAGGTCAGAATTACTTGCAGAACAAGGATAGATTGACCATAACTCACAATAGATGTATACGGTCCAGTAGATCTTCCTTGGCGCTAAACCGTTGTTTGGCGGCTTTGGTCAGCGTCTTGTTTTTGTATAGGTAGCGAAGTGGCGGGATCGACGACAATGTGATGACGCCTCTCATAGTTGATTTTGACTGTTCTCCGGCTGATTCTCGCTCAGATCCGTCTGATTCGTGGTCGCTCATATGTTCGGGAAGGGGTCACGTAGGTTCAATTCAATCGAATGCACCACCACTATCCGAAGGTCACTCTTGAAAAAAAATCTCGATCAACAACCAGCTTATGATGTTGATAATAACTTCCTCTGATAGTTGGTCGAACAAATCACGGTTCTCCGACATGGTGGTGGCTGAGTTGTGTACGCGGTTTCGATCCTAACCACCCGACGATTTTCATTTGCAAGGCGTTTCCTAAACTGCTTACGGGATTGGATTTATAACTCGCGAATGCTATGACAGAATTAGGATACCATTGCTACCGGACCACGAACCTATCCTTCTATTGCCCAATTATCCCAGTATCTAATTTCGAGTACTACACATAGACATGATAGTATATCGCAGCTATACGTCTACCGCCTCTAATTCTATCTTGACTTTACGCTCAGCTGCGAATTCTACTAATGGGCTTAGACGTTGGGGATGATGCTGGTCAGTGATAACCTGTAAGCATGGCATACAAGAAGGTGATTTATCGATTAAAAGGCGTTTTATGCATGCAACACAGCCCTCTTCCCCCCAATCACCGTCGTGGGCTTCATACATTCCCAAGAGTTCGAGACCTTCAGGGAGGAGAGTAGAAAGTGGAGGTGCTACAGAGGGATCAAACCCCATAATAAGACTATAGTTGATAAATAGCCTTTTGAGAGATTGGAAATGAATGAACGACCAGACGGAGGAGTCCTCGAAATCTCACAGCGTACATCGACAACTTGTTGGTAATGAAAACCGGCTAAATACCGAGTCGGCATTTGAAGTTTTTCACTTGAATTCTGGGCACTTTTCCGAAAGAGAATAGTCGACCTTTTCCATTCATATTCTTCCTGTTTTCAGTCAATTGAATGCCAACTCAGGAGGATTAGTGAGACTATTTCCCTCGAGAAAACTGACTGTATTTCAAATTGAAAACCGTACATGCCGACTCGGTATTAGCCAGTTTTCACTACCAACAACTCATGGATGTACGCTGTGTCTGCATCCCAACAAACGCTGAGAACTTCAAGCGTCTGTGAAGTAAGGTGAAGGGCCTTTTCGAATGAATCCTTGGAACAGAAATCGGACGACACGGCTATTTCATCCACATATACAAGACGCTTGAGTGCTCGAGGCAGCCGAAGGAGTGTGGCGAACTTGTCACCATCGATACGAGAACGCCATAGCTCAAGTGTCTCCACATTCGAATTACCATACAAAGCCTCGATTTGAACTCCGAAAGGGAGCAGCCACTGCCAATCAAGGGCGCCATCGTCCCACATAGCGGCACTGTGCGCCTGTATCTCTATCACAGAGGGATGTAAAAATATGGGAATCAATGTTTGAGCAGCGAAAGAGCCTTCTGTGTCGTAATAGCGTCTCGTATACGAGCGAAGCTTCGAAAAAACACGCCCTTGATGAAATAGCCTGGAAAGACAAGTCGCATACAAAGGTAAATCATCAGGAGTGATGATTAATTCTTCTAAACTTGGTAGTAGATGAATCAATAACAACACTCTGGCCCAGTTCTTGCCGGACTGTATCGCAGAGATGAATGTCTTCGAGAGCCCGTGATGTTTTGCCACATTGACAAGAGCCAAAAGAACATCTGTATAGGATTCTCCATCTTTAATAAATGGATTATCACCATCCATATAGAGAGTATTTTGGCCGTTTGTGTCTTCGACTTCGTCTTCATCCTCGTAGTAGCATTCTACCTCCAGCTTCTTCACAAAGTTACCGTAGGCGGGTGTTTTCATGAGAAAGGATAGTATACCATTAACATGACAAGGCTTTGTCACTCGTATACAGCTGTATAAGGGCTCCATGCCAAGGCGCCAAAGCCTTTTGCTACACAGGGTGAGGTGCCAAATGGACTCATTGAGAGGCTTCTTCCCGAATTCCTCGAAAGAGTCAAGGTACAAATGACTCATGATATCTAAAATAGTCTCGTCTGCGAGCCGGTTGAATAGATCAGAGCTGCCAGACATAGTGGTGATTGACCAGGTGGTAGCCTTGATTTGAGACGCCACAGTCGACAGGCTTGTCTCTCACTCACGACTTTCGATGCGTTTGATATTACTGACATGAGTTTCATGGGCCAATATTATCTCACGTCTATACACTGAACTCTTATAGGATAAGCATTGTTATTTTCATACATCTTGAAATATACTTGAGAAATTCCTTAATCTATGCGAGCTGGTCCCAATAGTAGGATATCTGATTCAATTTGATGTGAACATCGAGTTCGAAGTCTCGTTCCACTAATGAGCCTCAAGAATGGGGCTCAGCCATGTCCACAAGTCAGAACTCGCCAACAGAGCACACATAACGTCGATTTGTCAAACAAAAGCTGCTTCATGCAATCCACATAATCTCCTTGATCCCAATAAGACCACACGTCTGGATGCATTCGCGCACTTCGAGTATGGGGGAATGCTAAGATATCGACGACATATATATTACCAAAAGAGGCTACGGTATAATTAAGAATACTCAAATATTTGCCCTCGAGCTCTATTTTGACATTCATCTTGGACGCCAAGTCCTCTAGTGGACTCAGAAATGCAGGATTACTTATATCTCCTATTGTCTGTAGGGAAGGGATGCATGAAGGAGACTTGTCAACTAAAATCCTCCTGATACCCTCAAGTTTGTCGCTATCGCTTAAACGACTCCATGCCTCTGCATGCATCCCAAGCACTTCTAGATTAGGAGGAAGAACGGCGGTTATCATGGGCAAGTCGTCTTTGATGTCCTTTTGAAAAAGGAAGGAGTAGTTGATAAAAAGTGTTTTGAGGGAGCGGAAATCTTGAAGTGAGCCAATGGTCAACTGTGAACCGTAGCGGCTGGTAGCCCAGACGATGTCAAGAAATTCGAGCGTGGCACCAATTTGCCTCAGTGACTTGAAGAATAGATCATAAGACCCCGTATGGGCATCTTCATCGGCTCCCTGATGGCAGATAAGGCGCTTGAGAGCTCGGGAAGTAGGAGAAGTTGGGCTATGTGTCTCCCGTCAATGAACCGCCAACCATATTGAGTGTTTCTACACTTGAGGTACCGTACCAGGTCGCGATACGTGTATTTGGAGGTGCGCGTAGGTCATAGTCTCTGTCTTCATAATGAGTGTTAGCTCGACGCGCACATACTGTAGTTATAGAAGGGCAAAAGAACACCGGTACTAGACCCCCCACAGGAAAGCATTCGTATGGTTTGCTTGGGTCGACGCATTTTCTGGTAAACGAAACCAGCTTTGGGAACAGATAGCGGTTGTGTATTAGGGTAGAAAGATTAGAATCGAAAGAGGAGTCCGAGAATTCTTCATGTGTCATAGCGAGGTCTTCCAACTGTGGTAGGAGATGAAACAATAGGAGAGCCTTGGCCCAATTGTGTCGTAATGCGAGTTGAGAGATAAACCCTTTGGGTAGATGACATCTCCTCGCTACTTCGGTATATATTTCTGGTGTCTTCACGTTGGGGATATTTAATTTGGTATTCACCTCTTCACCTGGAACCTTCGTCATATCTTGGTGACCCTCTGATTTCAATTGAATATCGAGGGTTTTGACTAATTGACCATATTCCGGTGTTTCTATGATTGTAAGAAGTAAAATATCCAGGTGGCGAGGCCGTATCACCCGTAGAAATTGGTATAATGGCCCGATGACAACTCGCCGAAGACGGTGGTTGCACTGTGAGAAGTGCCGGATATGCGGATTGAGGCCAGGTCCATCGTAACGATACAAGTAGCGAGTAATGTCTAAAATGAGTTCATCGGGAGATCGGTCAAATAGGTTGGAATAAAAGGTTCGGCATAGAGGTGTAACATTGGTGGCAGCTGTCACAGACCAACTCAAACTCCGCAAAAATAAACGGCACAATCTACGTGCTGGCAGACGTTC